CTTCGTAAGTGGGATTTTTCCCTGGGACAAATCCCGTGAAACGGCCTGTGGAGACAAGGCCTTAGAAAACATGTGTCGCAGGCAGGCAGCAATCCCGGGCAATTCACAAGCTCCGTACTTGTCAATTCGTCAAATTGAAATTACAATAACATCGTTATAGAAAAGGTTTCTAGAAATTCAAGGCACGACTGGACCTCAGCTAGAAACGCCTTCAAATCCAGCGATACTCTCCGCTTTGCCCAGGAGTTAGTTTAGTTGCTTAACCAAACCAAGCCCAACGCAGATTATTGATTATACATTTCACGAACTCGCGAGTGTGCTGGCTGGTAGCATGCATTCAAGGAGAAGGGGATAACGTATGCTTGAATTCAAAGCATAATAATCACTACTTCCTATCTCGTTTTTCACTTTAAAGTGTTTTAATTTGTGGATTCAACACGAATAGATTGTAATTTGCCGGCGATTGCTATTGCCTGCGACATAAGCCTAAAATAACGTTTTCTTGCGTCAAATTATGTAAAATTCAAGCGATGTTGGTTTTCAAACTAACCATTTTTAGCATATTTCGAATACAAACTGATCAATAATTATTTCTCTGCCGATCAATCGCTTGATGGATTAGCTACATGTTTCGATTACCAATTCGTCGCCTACCTGACATAAGGGCGTAACTTGCAATGGACTCTGTTTTCCATACATTTCAATGCTTTTCCGGGCTCATCTCAATGTGTAGTTACGCCCTAACGTCAGCCAATCGACGAATTATCGATTATTCGATTTTTTTAATAATCGAACATGCCTATTTTTTACTGTTACCAATGCGACAGAGGTAGTATTTACCTGCACTCGAGCACGAACAGCCAGCGGGAGGACCTTTATTTGCGCCCGTGAAGGTGTTTGATGATTTTGTTCCACTCCTCCTTAATGGGCAGGTGGCTCAAATCTGTGGGAACTAAGAGCCATGAGGTGCACCTGTGTTTCAAAGGAGCTCTTTAGGGTAGCTCGATACTGCCCTGCTGAAAATAGCGAGTAGAGAGAAGGTAGAGAGTGCTGCTCTGCTGTGATAGCGAAGAGAGCAGTAAGTGCATGCTGGGATGAACCTCGAGACCCATAAAAGCATGTGCTAACCATGGCTCATGCAGAAATATACTTACTGCTCTCTTCGCTACCACGGCAGCGCTGATATTAGTTTGATAGCCACTAATATTAATCTAATATCCGCTATAATATTAGTTCTATCGCTCTACGGAAAAAAGTATAAGGGGTAATCCCTTAAAATTGGGGTACTACCGCAATTTCTTGGATGATTTGGATGTTTCCAATTAATTGAGGTAGTACTGCAAAATTTGGACTAGTGACCTAATTTATTGAGGTACTACCGCTATTAATTTGAAATGTCCAAATCATCCAACCGCCCCGTGCCCGTTTTTTCCACGTGGGAAGATCAGTCAGATTTCTGCATGCTGATACCGGTTAAATCTCTACTGATATCATTTGAATCCCTTCTAATGCATTAAAGAGTCAGATGATATCAGTAGAGTCTCTGTCCTCGTCTCTGGACGGTTCACATGAGTAGAAATCCAGCTGATCAGGACAGACTCTGAATTCGCGATGTTTGATTTGATATGACAGAAACTAATCACTGCATCCGAAAAATATTCACGATACAAAAAGTGAATATTATTAAATTTTACACAAGGTAAAAGTGTCTCCTGATCAGAAATATCAGTTTTGTAGGATGGAGGGGAAAAAATAAAAAATTAGTGATATCAGTCGAACCGCCCAAAGCCGCTTCTTGTTTTGACCAATTAATCTGAGTAGAGATCCAGCCGACATCAGTACAGACTTTACAATTGCGATGTTTGATATTTTAGAAACTAATCTGTGCGTCCAAAACTAAGCCAAAACAGATGTGCCAATAGTTTCCCTCAGCAACTAGGAGCCTCTTTGAATGAGCTAGCAATAGTGGTTTCACAAGGTGATCCAAAAGTTCCTTACCACCAGAGTCAGGCATCATTCCTGTAATTTTTAAACAAAATGAATGTAAAGACCAGGAAACTTATGCAGGCTCGGACTGGCCATAAGGCCAATCTGCCATTGGCAGATACGCCCCCTTGGTGCGCCGAAAACGCGCCCCTCTGACAGATAGCAAAATATGAAGAGAAAAAAATTACGACCGAGAATATATGCGGAAAATTTCTTAAATGAACGGAAGAAGAAAGAGTTAGGAGTAAAGAAAGGTGCTTATCGCAAGATAGTCATGAATAGAGGTCCAAGAACTACTTAAGAAGCGTAAACACTTTTCTGTGAAATTTTTACCTTTTCGTTGACATACACGCGCTTCATCATCCCCCTCTTTCATTAGCTATGTGTAACTACCTTAGAAGCGATGGTCGGTTCAATTTTTACACATACTCACTGTTTATAGACTCTTAAGAGACCTTTAAACATATTTCTTTCTTTTCAAAATGACTATTGATTTGGAAATACCATAGCATATCTCGGGCAAACATGACCTAAATTTATCTCGAAATTCAAAAATAAGAAACAACTGACGTGTAAACGCGATACAACTGTTCGCGCAAGACGGATGTCCACATTCCATATGAAAAAATTAAGACGCGATGGCGTGAGCCGTAAACTCACATTGCTCTCCTCTATGCTATTAGTTTGAGGCACCATCACCAATAAGACAAACGGAAACAAGCACAATATGGAAATACAGCGAGGGAAAGGATGCGCGTTTGCGACGGCGCAGAGATACAACTATTCGTACTTGATGGACGTCCGTGCTGCATCTGAAAAATTGAAGGCGCGATGACGCGGAGCGCGAGCTCTCGGTGCTCTCTGCGATATGCTGCCAATGAGGTGTCGCTCAGACTCAGGAGAAAAGTTAAAAAAGAGGCCCGAACACATCTCTCCTACCTTCGGCTGCGTTGATACTCGTTCTTTCTTCTTTTTTCAGGTTCTTGTGTGATTTTTTTTAGGGTGGATTTGCAGACCCAAGTCTTAAGCTCATGTAAACCGCAGCTCTGGATCGGTTCTTTTGGAAATAATGGTGCTTGGATGCGTCTAGTGGCTTTAATTTTTTATGTTTTTTTTTAAAGTTTAGAAGTCTGCTGGTTACTTCAATGCGTTCAATTTTGCAATTTTTACTCAATAAAATTAATAAACTTTGAACCTGAAAATAGCGTAAACATGCGCTGCTTTGCCAAAATTTTCTGAACCCCTCTCTACGAGGGGTAGATGCCCTACCAGGAAATATCACATTACGCCTTTTTAACCAGCAAAGGGTCTACGCCCTCAGATGCGAGCCAGTCCGACCCTGCTTATAAGTGATCGTAAACCAAAGGGGAACTTTTTGGAACCTCCAAAACTTTCAAGAAACTAGCCGGATCAGGGACAAGAGCATCAAGGGCTATAAGGGTGGTGGCAGTGGACTTTTGGATCGCCCTGTAAAATGCAGAATTTGGTTCTATGCAGCAAAGAGGACGGTGGCTATCTACGGTGCCTTGGGCAGGGTGGTGAAAATCCTGCTAGAGAGGTGGAACGAAATCAATAAAGAAAGAATAAATTATATAAATAAATAAACAGTGGACTAAAAGTAAGAAACTTTCTTAAAAGGATTCGAGCACTTAAAACTTTTCGGACGCATTGATTAAACGTCTCAAGGGCAGAGGCGTGGTGTGCTTTGCGATATACCTATCGGTTGATCTGCCACTTAAACCCATGGAAAAGGATCGATAAACAGGGTGTTCACAACGAACACCTTCATTATCGATTCTTCAACGTAGCTTCAAATGGGGAAATATCGATAATCGATTATTCACGTCTCGCCACTGCTCAAGGAGTTCACATGCAGACATTGCTGCGATTGCGGATAAACTGGATTTCCTAGATAAAATCGTGAACGTCACGGGAAAAAGTTTTTACATAGTTTCCGATGGTTCTTTTTAACATTTATAAAGTAGAAAGTTCGTCATGACTGATAATTTTCTCCAGTCAAAGCAAAATAGGTACCGTCTCTAAATTCTTTCACATGTTACATTTCAAGGTCTCTTTCAACCTTTCCTGCATGGATGCTTGTAAATGTTACAAAATGAAGTGCTGAACTCTAAAACAGAAAAATCCCACGAAACGGAATAATTTAATTCAAGCGAAAATTTCCAGTGTTTAAAACATATTTTTAACGCATGTAATGCAGATTCCACAAAACCCTGCAGCAAAATTTTTTATGGACTTCCAACTTCAAAAATGAGGGGCTTGGAGGACAAGGCGCGTAAGTGCAGTTTTTGCTATTTCAAGAAATACGGGTTTAAAGTTTCAAAATTACATGATAATAGGAAGGAAGCTTTAAACTCGCTTGTTGATGCTTTAAGGTTGTTTAGTCCTCAATTTTTCACAAAATATACTTTCAAACTAGTTTTAATTGAGTTCATGAATTTCTCAATTTTTTTCAAAAACTGCACTCATGTGCCTCATTGTCCTCCAAGACAATCAAATGTAAAAATTGTTTGTCTTTTAATAGCTAAGAGAAATGTTTTAAATTTATCGTTGGGTACTTTTCGAAACAAACCAACTTCGTGCTCATATTTACAGTGCAAAATGAAAAAAAGGGATCTTGAGCAAAAAAAAAAATTAAATGATGACTGGACCGGCTGGACCCCATAAATAACTTTTTTGCAACTAAGGAAGTCTCGTTTTCTTCCGAATTGGGCAGTTTTCAGAGCAAGGATTCAATTTCGGTCCCGCCTATCAGCCCAAACAAACCGTAAATCAGCACTTCGCAGAATGCGATAAATTCTGCGGTGAATCAGCTACCTATCAGAGCGAGATGATATTAACCGATGATAATTGGTACTCACGCAATGCGTAGACCCCGGAGTTCGCGAGTAAACAAGGGAGTGAATGAGTCAGCTGTTCCAGACGCCCTGATTGGCCGCCAGTTTCGCCAATCAGGTTTGTGGCGCGCTCCGAGGTTGGGCTCGGGGTAAACTCGAAACCCGGCAGAGTCAGAATTTCGAAAATCAGGACTCGCAAACGGTCGTTCGTTCCTTTCTCTCTCGACTCGAAATCAGATTTCGCTGCTCGTTACGCGAAGTTTTTTCCCGCGTCTTATTGCATTTTCGCTGTGCGCCACAATTAATTGAGCTCGTGCTTGAAGCTCTCTACCCTCTCGTTCCTTTTTTCAATTTTTTGAAGCACTTAACGTTGGTGATGAATAAATTCTAAAATAAAATTTTACTCCTCGTAAAACCGGTTTTTGTGCGTCTGTAAATTTTGGATCCTCCTTTTTTTTCATCCATTATTTCAAATTGAAGGCCTCCATGCTAGGCGTCCACCGTCTCACCACTTTGCGGTCAACTTAGTCAGTCAAAAATCATTGTTTTTTAATATTTATTTTTTGCAAACTTTTTAGTAATTTTTATCTTCGGATCGACCAAGGAGCCATAGAGATTCACGCGCTATTTGAAGAAACTTCTGCACTGTTCCGGCTTTTCTTTAATCTGTGATTTTGTACATTTTACGCTCCCAAAAAATCTAACGATTTTAAGAATTTTCTTTTTTGGGTGTTGTACATACTAACAGTGGTAATCTGTATTCTCTCGTAGAAGTGTCTTTTCGTGCGTTCTGTTTAGAGAGTTGTGAAATTCTCGAACTTTTGAGAAATTTCACGAGGTGACTGTCCCAAATTTGTGTATCTTCGCTGTCATAAAGTCGGAAAATGTTACTTCATTTCGTTGTTACCGTTTTCGTGCTATGTACGTTCGAGGTATGGTCACTTGCAGAGGACCCTACAACCATCTCCAAGTTATTGGAGACAGTTTTGAAAATTCAACCGCCGCAAGATATTGGATTTGACAAATCGCGAGTTCGGACCCCTGATCATATGATGGATTTATTACATCAATACAACGACGACCACTCATCGGAGCATCTCAATGACAACATAATCAGGAATATTTTTCCCCTGCAAGGTACGTGATCTGAGTACGAGTTTTTCAAATTATTAACTAAACTTCAGTATAACATGACTTGATTTATGTAGATTTTGAAATGAGTATGAAAAGTTGTGATGATTATATCTTTTACTGAAAAAGTTGTTAAAATATATTTGTCTAACTTGAAACTAAATTCTCTTTAATTTTAAGAAAATTTTTCTAAGATAAAATAAAAAAAAAGATTTTACAGATAGTAGAGATAGATGAATCAGAAGCTCAGTGTCTGTCCATGAGCATTGTATCTCATGAGAAGGGATATAAAGGGCCAAGTGTTTACCGCACGGTTACCGGTACCGCACGGAAAATTCTCAAACTTTTTAAAGTAAATAAATAAAAAATCAAGTGAAAATTTACAACGTTGCAGTGAAAAAAAGCAACTCTGCCCAGGGTCCCTTAAAATGGTAAACTGAATATCAAAACGCAGTTGCATTACTCTGTTCGTAAACATTTAAATGTTGCTAGTTTCGATTGATACCAACAATATTTTAGCGATGGTTTACTGGTCATTTTAAGGATGGGCTGTCATATCAATTGTCAAAGTCGGAAACTTCATATCTTTATTGTAACGTTTCAAAGTCTCCGATTGTTGTTCATTCTTTTGAGAAATAACTATAACTACAGTTTTTTCTTTACATTTTCTATAAATACCTTTGAATGAGTGAAACAAATTTACGACAATTTTCAAGAAAAATCTTGGTTAATTTTCTTCAGTAAGAATATAACATGGCGGCAATTTTCACGGTTAAGGTGAAATGACGTACCTCCATTTTTCAAAATTTCTGCTCCTATTTTATTTTTCCAAACGAAAACAAGCCAAGACTAGTTTTCCACAAAAAAAAAAAAAAAAAAAAAAAAAAAAAATACAGTGTGACAGGAAGTCTACATTGTTGCAAATGAAGATACGTGGTTTTGAACTTTGGCCATCGATTTGCAACCTCAAAATTTGAATGACACATTGATGGCTTAAGTACGAAGCCTCGTATCTCCGTTTGCGACGTTGCAGACTTTCTGCCTTACTTTAATTTTTCTATGGAATATTAGCCAACGTGATTTCTTGAAAACTTCCTTGATTTTTCTTCTCTGCAAGAAGAATAATTTATCTAAATTTCAAGTTGTAAAGTTGGCTCGTTTCTATTCGGAAAAATAAAATAAGAGCAGAAATTTCGAAAAATGGAGGTATGTGATTTCAGATTAACCGAGAAAAGTGTCGTCCAATCATTCTTATTAAGGAAAACCAACCCGTATTTTTCTGCAATTTGCAACATCAAAATTTGAGTTAACCATCTTCCGGTTTTACCCGTCGATATGAAGAAAGAAAGAGCAGAGACGAGGAAAAAGCCGTCGAAGGAGGATTAAAGAAAAACTCAGACAAGTGGGAAAAGTAGTCGGGTCAAAATAAATATGATTTCTATGAGGTAATCCGCTTCCGGCGAAAGGATTGTCGCCAGGCAGGGGTGTTTTTTCATACTTTCATTCCCACTTTTCCGCTCGGCGCACAATGGACCGAATCAGTGGGAGAGGTCCGACAGAATTTGGAAACTTTAAAAGCTTACAACTCCGTTTTTACAAAAGTTTTAGGTTTTAAAAATGATCCCATTGGTTTTTTCGTAAAGCTCACTACAAGAATCGACGCTCAAAATTTAAAATTGGACGATATATGCTTCTAAATTTGCAGTTTTAGTAAAAAAAATTCACGTCCGATCCTTCCCATTGATTCGGTCCGTTGTGCGGCGCTGGGACCCGTGCGCTGCCACAATCAAGAGTGGCGTCATGTCCCCGTGGAACGCTTTAAGAGGTCTTTTGTCCCATGCTCCGTGAAAAAAATACAGGTTGCATGGAAAGGTATCCGGCACAATATATCCATTTGAGATGGATGCTCCCAAAGGACAATAAAGGGCCGCTCCCAAATGGCATACCTAGCGACGCCGCGCCGCACGGTGGATCGAGTCAATCAGAGAGGTCGCACATGAACTTTTCAACGAAAACTGCAAATTTTCATGTTTGATTCGTCACATTTCAAATTTTAAGGGGTGCCCCTAGAAGAGAATTCACAAGGAAACCAATGGAACCACTTTTAATGCATCAAAGTTTTGTTTAAACGAAGTTCTGAGCTTATAAAGTTTCCAAATTTTGTCCAACATCTCCCATTGGCTCGATCCATTGTGCGCCGCGCCGTGCCCGCCGCGCCAGTAAAGGGACTCGCCCGATTAATGTTGAAAAATGTTTTTCCTTCCCTTCTGTACCATTTTGACGAATCATATAGCCACTGAACGGGGAATTACTTATCGAGGCTCTTAAGTAAATACAAATTTTCACGAAGCAGCTCGAGACAATGGTGTCAGGAGAAAAACAAGGGGGAAAAACGGGAAGCCATGTTAAAATACAATAATAAAAAACCCGAGACGTTCCGACTCAAAACTGAGTAATTTTCAGTCGGAAAATGACCGGTCGGCCACCGACATGTTGGTCTCAGGTTTTTTCATCGATATTTGTTAATTTTTAATTTATTTTCCGACCGGAAATGATTCCGATTTGAGTCGATTGTCTTGGGCTCTGAAATGAAGGGCCCGAAAGACAAGTGAAAAAAGTGCAGTTTTCAAAAAAACGGAGAATTCAATTATTTCAACTCTGCTAGCAGAATATTTTGGAAAAATGTCATGCCCAGAGGATTTTAAAATAAAATAGGAGTGGAGATATTGAAACGCCGCAATGGAGTTATCCGATTTCGTACTTTGGCCATCGATATCATCGTGTGGAAAACAGCCGCATGGCCGGACAATTGACCCACTCAGTTCATTTGGACTACATTTTGCAATTAGGAACTACAATGTCTAGCCCATCTGTAAAAACAGTCTTTTGCATAGGGAAACCAATTGTACATACGTCGTTTTTAAAATGAGCCAGATATTATAGTTCCAAATTGCAAAATGCAGTCCATTTACTCGTGCACGATAAACATGTTTCTTTGGGCTTTTCTCCGTCTTCTTTATTGACCCATGTAAAAATTTCAATGAAATAGAACCCAAAAACGAAAAAAAATCATAATCTTTATCCATACGAAAGAAAATATTGGTAAAATCGGCCACCTCTTGTATTGGGCTAAATACTGGGTTTATATTGATCCTCTGGGGCTGGATCTGTTGGATTTGTGTTCCGAGAATGAGCAGGTATTCGGGAATCGAACGGGAGTCTCTGCGTCTGGTCTGGAGTCTGCTGAGGGCACTTAATCAGGAGCAGACACTGGCGATGGGAGGTTGGCGCGAGACACCTTTGGGTCTTTGTTCATTTATCAACGATGATGAAACAGACCATTTATTTCAGGCCCGGTGGACTTCGATTGTATTGATGTTAACATGTTCGTCAGAGTGCGAATGTCTCTATCCGAGTTGCCGTTTGCTTTCGTGATACTATTCGCATCCTACCCTGATTCAGTGGATGGTTTTTTAAAAAAAATTGCTCATTGATTTTCCACCGTGTATGTGCTTGTGTTAAAAGACGCAAATAATGAACTTGAGAGCATGTTTGTGGCCATGCAATTTGAGTTACCTAGACGTTAAAACATGTATCTCGCGCATTTCATTTATTTCAATTTGGTTTCAAATTTATCGCAGCTGAAATCGCGTCGTAAGTGCTCCTTCATTTTTGTGGTTATGCAATTTGACCTACCCAGGCGTTGACACATTTGTATCGCGTACTATTACCCTCGATTTCATCCTCCAGCTTTGAAATCTGCAAAATTCATCGTGACAGTTCACACTTCTTCCTATTCAGTAATTTTTGAAGAGGACAGTGAAGAATTTTTCGAATTTTGGAAAATGAAAGTGAAGTAACCGAAAATATATGCAAAGTCTCCAACATTTCATGCGTCCAACAATTTTTCGGTTAGAAATCATCATTTTTGAGGTTCCTGGTTTGCGATGGTGCTGACTGTGCTAAAGAAAGATGCCGTAGGAACATTTGGACGTGGCTACGTTTCCTCAAATAATAACAGATGTTTTGATAAAATTGTGAGTTTTACACATCAGTTTTTGAGAATTTCATTTGCATTTTAGTTTACAGTACCAACAAATTCCGAGGAAAAAATTCATCCTTTTATCTCAAAATTTAATATTTTATCGAGGGTGATTGACAACATTCGAACGCTATGCAGAATACCTCCTTAGCATTTTAGGATCGTCGAAGAAATCCCTCCTACTGAGAGCAATTTGGCAACTTTGATTGCATTTAAGAACCCGGCGCTTAAGACGAAAAAGTCGTGCTCCTTGGATGTACTACCGGCCAAAGTTACAAATGAGGTTTCAAATGTTGCCAAAATTCCCTCAATAAAATATACGTTTTTGAAATAAATTATGAATAATTTTCCTTGAAATTGTCAAAGACCCTACGTTACATTATGAATATAATTTTCTATAGGATTTGGAAAAATATACACAAATGTTTCCCTAAAATATCACTTTTTGTCAAACGAATTTCGGCAACGTCTGAGGGCTCATAGGGACATAGGGCTTCCTTTCTCAGCACGGCAGTGAAGCCGTAGGGTTTTTAGGTTTATGACAGAAATGGGTTAGGCGACAGTCTCTCACCTTCCCTAATTACAACTTGGAACCAGGAGCATCCAGACCTAATTCCTTTTCGCCGGGTCGTAAAAAACCATCATCAGAGGTTCCTGGAAAACGGCTCCTCTCATCACTTCCAGATTTTTTGCGTCTTGTTCTCTGCGATAAATCGATCGATCTGCCATTTAAACCTGTAGTAAAGGATCGATTATCAGGTCGCTCCCAGCGAAATCGATTCTTTGCCATAGCTTTAAATGGGACGATATCGATACTCTGAGTTTTTTCCGGGTTGTTCGGCGCTGTTTCAATAAGGACTCGCAATTAACACGTAGCTCCTTTCATCGTTTGGGCGGTGGTTTTCACGGGTTCCAGTCGGGAGCCATCTCAGGAGCAGTGGCGTGGCGTGAATTGCGATATATC